GGAGAAACTCCCTTCGGCCTGACCTACGGTGCGGAAGCGGTAATCCTAGTAGAGATTGGCCAGCCAACGCTCCGAGTTGAAGAAGCCCGGGAGAAGGCGCAGATCAAGGTAGCTGCCTACCAGCAACGCGTGGCCCGCTACAACTCAAAAGTAAAAGAAACACATTTTTGAGAAGGAGACCCTATCCTCAGAAAGGTCATGGTCCCCGAACCCGGAGTAGGAAAGTTGGGCCCCAAGTGGGAAGGCCCCTACAGAGTCAAACGCGTCCCTCGGCCCCAGAACCTTTCACTTGGAACACTTGAATGGAAGACCCGTCCCTCGAACGTGGAACCTGGAGAACCTTCGAATGTATTTTCAATAAATGTAACTGCCTATGGCTAAGTGATGAATGAAGGAAGCAAAAGTTCCTCTTTGGCTCAAATGTTGAATGAATGTGTGTCCTAAGTCCTCAAAAACCCTCGGCTTCATGACTTGTCGACGTGCGAAACCCTCTTCCGAGGGATGAGCGCACGGTACGGAGCGATGCAGAAGACTGTAACGACCCTCGGACGAGCACCTTGCCAGAAACATGCACGCCAAGGTGAACGGGGCCCTTCACGCCTCATCACCTCCTTAGTGGATGGTGACCCCTTCAGCACACCAGGGCGGACGAGGACCTACATGCCTAATCACCTCCTCAATGGACGGTGACCTCCTCGGCTACCTATACTCAGTGCAATAAAAATGACAACCTCGATTGACTCGGAGGTTTACCTTGGCTCAAGCCCCCGACTTTTCCGGTGTGACGCCACGGCCTCCCCCGAGGAAACACTTGGTGGGAAACAAGCCAGGTGAGCTGCACCCCGATAGTGCCGCTCCACCTCGGCCCCTCATTCCCCCAGGCGCCTCAACCCATGACCTCGGCTACGGCGCCAGGTCACTTTGGCCTTGCCTAAGTAAACACTTAAAGGAATTCTAGAGCCAGGCGAGCCTCACTTCGAACGTATGGCCTTGCCTTGAACCTCAATGCCCTAACTACTTAAAGTGAACTTGCAGCAAACTAACTACGAACTATGACCGAGCTATACGTGTTTTTGTGTGTTGTGGTATCGTCGTTTGGAGGGGCAGGGACCTCTCAAAAAAGAAAAAAGAAGAAGAAGAGAATAAAGAAGAAGGAGAAGAACACAACATACAAAAGACACACATCATATACAAAAAATGGCTTCATCCATTATTGTATTTCTATACTGCCATTACAAAAAAAGTTTTTAAGGCCTCTTGGGCCGAACACATGTACATTCACAAAAAAAAAAAAAAACAACAAACACAAACAACAGAACAAAAAAATAAAAGGGGGGAATCCACGCCTAGGCCTCGTTGTCGACAAGAGGAGCGAAGTCATCAGCAGCCAGGGCTTCGTCAGGGGCATCTGGAATCACCTATATCCCCTTGACGTCAAAGCCCGACATCACCTATAGGAGCGCCTTCTTCGTATCATCAATCCCGTCAAGGTAGGACGCCAACGCGTACTCTACGAGCGCATCCAGATACTCGGAGGACTTCTTGAATGCCTCCACTGCTTTGGTTGCTGCCTTCTTCACCTGCTCCACAGATGTCGCGGCCTCAACAACCTTCTTCTCTGCCTCGGAAACCCTTCCTTCAGCATCGGTTGCCCGCCTCTCCACCTCAGAGACAATGCTCTCCGGGAGAACTCTCTCCATTTGCTCCTTGGAGAGACCCTACCGCACCTCTTTCAGCTGTATCTCGAGGCATTCCCGAACTGACTGCTCGTCGAGGAATGCATTCCTAAATTTTTAGTACTTCTCCTAGGCAGCAACAATAGTCTTCTGAAGCTTCTCCCTCTCCTTTTGAAGCTTCTCCTCGGCGGACTTCTAGAGCCTCTCCTCCTTCTCCAGCTTGTCAAGGCAAAACATTGCCAGCCTCGACCAGTCCCCCAAACCGATGAAGTTTTGCCAAGCTTGCAACAGAACTAGTTAGCGAACAAAATAGGAGGAAGAGAAAGAAATACATAAGATACAAAGTAAAAAACCAAAAATCTTACCTCTGCCAGCTGGTACAAGCCCTCGTCATAGATGGCCTTGAGGTCGCTCTGCAACAAGCGGTAACGATCCCTCGGGAGGGTCGCCCCGCTCACCAAGGCCAGGCTGACCCCTTCGTCCTGTATGGAGTCCCCTTCGTGAAGCTGCCATTGCGGATGGAACACCTTGTCGGCCCCCTCGGCTCTCTCGGGGAGCCCCTGCATTGATGGCGGAGCCGAAGAAGGCCCAGATGGACGCTCCCCGAGCACAAGTCTCCTCGCCACATCTTCAACCGGGCATTTGGCGTTGGCCACCTTCTATGGTGGCTCCTCCCTCGGCGTGTCTTCGGTGGGCCTCTTTCGACCCATCTCTGCCCCCTTTTGTGGGCTCGACACCTCAGCCCCCTCGGCACCTCTACTGGCTTTTTGGCCCCCTTGGCGAGCTCCTGGGGTGCCACCACTGGTCGTTTCCCCTTGGTGGAAATGCGTTGATTTCCCCCTTTGCTGACACAGGGGGCAACCTCTTCGCTGGACCACTTCGGCATCTGTGCCCCTGCTTTCTTCCCAACCTGCTTTGCATAGGCCTTCTCGAGCAATCGCTGCTTGGCATCCATTGGTATCTTTGCGAACACAAAGGAAAATGGTCAGCACAACCAGCCGAAGATGTAGAAAGCGTTCGAAGTAACTACAAAACCTCTCCTACCGAGGGGGGCAGGGCTAATCCCAGCGAACACTAGGGGAATCTCCTCCTCCACTAACGGCTTCACCTGGACTGTCCCCATCACAAGCAAATGAGCCACGACAACGGTTTCCTCATCTCGAAGCAAAGGGGGACATCTCTTAACAACTACACAGGCCTCCCCCCACTTCGACCTGAACCTCCATCCTTCGGGGCAGGAGACATAGAAAAATTTATCCTTCCACCCATGGACGGATGAAGGGTTGTGCACCAACTTCCCTCTTTGGGGATGGAAGTAGTACATGTTGGCTTCGGAAGCATGCTTCCTCGGCACGATCATGGCACGGAACATCTTCTACGTCAGTTTCACATCCCGAAGATGAGCCCACACCAACATCGCTATTATGGTCCTAAGAGCGTTGGGGATAAGCTAATTGATAGTGATATCGTACCATTCTAGTAACTTAGAAACTAAAGAAGGGAGAGGAAACCTAAAGCCAAACTCTAAAAAATGCTAGTAAACGCAGATTCCCCCCTCGTCAAGGGTCCATGGCTGGTCACCTATGTCGGGAACCCTAAGATCGTAGGATCGGGGTATGTGGAACCTCCTCGCAGGGATTTGAGTTGGCCCACCTCTGGGTATGGGCTGGGGATAGCGACGATGATGGATTCGCCCCACCGTCTGGGGCCATAAAAGAAAGAATGATCACGAAAAATGGTTGGTGTGAGAAACTCCAAAAAAAAAAAAAACTCCAATTATTTCAAACAATTGTTGTAGTCCTTTGCTTGAATTCAGTTGAAATTTATGTTCTATAGTATTGAAGTTGTAAGTTGAAGTACTTTTGGGATGGGGCCATTTCAAAGTAAATTGCAATTAATTTATTTTTCTATTTTTTAACTTTTTATCGAATGGAAAATTACATTTGACAAGAAGAGAGGCAATGAAACTGCTGCCTCCGACGACGCAGGCCGTCCCTTTTAACACTGTCTCCAGTTGCGTGGCCCTGTTTCTACAATGGACACAACATCTGCAGCGGCAACAGTAGCAACGTTCAAAATCGTTAGGGTCCTTGCTTCTTCTACCACTCCACAAACAGCGAAGCCAGCAACTTTGATTCCTCCAGGGGCCTCCACCAGACCAGGTATGCTCGCTCTCTATGCTTGCGGCATCACCGACACTGGTATTGTGTTTCTTCGCCAGAAGTGCCCAAGTCCTATATCTAGAAATGGTTTTTCCTATCTCACTCGTTGGTCAACAAAACCAGACATTGGCAGCGATAACACAACTGACAGGAACCCAACTGTCGATACAGGTTCCACTTCGACTACCCAACAACCCTTGACCACACAAATCCAAACACTTACTTCCTCTTCATCTTCTACTGGGTTGGTGTTTCATTTGGGTTCTAACAGCTACTGGGACAGCCGCGAGGTTGGATCTCCTGTCGTGAAAAGATATCTCAGTGACGATGCAAAGCGGTGGTATAGAGAACTTGCCGATCTCCCTCTTTCTCTCCTCCCTTATAGCCGCCAGAAGAGCAATCCCTCCTCCTCCACTTCCACCGCCGCCTCCGTCTTCAAACCTATCACGGACTTCCACCGCAGCAATTGATTGCAGCGGCGGATTCGAACTCAGCGGCAGCGAATCCACCACCAGCCTCTCTCCCTCTCTCTCCATCTTTCATTATTCATTTTCTTTTTATATTTATGCTCCTTCCCACAGTTGCCGCGCCCTATGTCACTGCCGAACCAGTTGTTGCCCCCCTCTGTACTTCCGCCGAATCAGTCGCTACCCCCAGCCCAGTTCGTCTCCATCATCTTCGCCCATTCTTCCATCAGTCCAATGGACAATAGAACAGGACTCTAGAATCTGCAGCATTTGGGTTTTGGAGCACTCCCTATAGAGGTCTATAGAAGAGAGATCGGGGGAGAGAGAGGGAGAGAGAGAGAAATGTGGATTTGCCGTTCGTGTATCGTGAGTTGGGAAAGATGAATAATGTTTTTTTTCCCAATTGTCTACAAAGGTAGTACGGGAATTGCAATGACAGAGGGCCCTTTGTTGCAAAACAAAATAAGGAGGTCTTTGTCACAGACTCCATAGTACATGGGGTCTTTGTAATTTACCTTTTTTTTCGTTGATTGCGTGGCAAAGTAATTCAACATCGACAGTTTAACAGTCCAACCGTCGAAACCAACCTAACCCAAACTTCAACAAAAAAAAGACCCGCCTTTCAAATTCAATCCCGAGTTCTTTACCCGAAACTCGAAAGCTGTATAAAAAGCCAGAATTCTCACCAGAAGAAACGGTTGGCCAAGAATGAAAGAGCTGGTTATCATTGGCTCTTGCATGCTTCTCCCTCCAAGTCCAAGCCCAACTCCCCACCATTCCACCAAGCAAAAGCACTCGTCACTGAGTCCCACCAGACTATCTCCCGCCAAATTATCATGCTCATCCGTCGACTCCACCGCCGCCCCTCGTCCACCTCTGCTCACGAGTGTCCGTCAGGATCTGACGCCACGCCATCGGAACCGCTTGAAATACTATGCCGACCTCGCCTCGAAGCTCGCCGAGGATGGCAAGCTCGAAGATTTCTTGATGATCGCCGAGACCGTTTTGGTTTCTGGAACACCACATTGGCAGTTTGTTGCTTCACTGAGTGTGAAACTTGTATCTGCGGGGGTTTCAGGTTTTCTTCGTGATGGCAAGAGACAGACTTTCATTGATTTTTTCTATAGGGTCGATAAGCTAGGGCTTCGCCCATCGGCTCTGATCGACGGTTCGGGAAGGAAGCTTCTTGCACGAGAATGTCGCCGGCTTGCAGATGATGGTAAATTGGAGGATGTTGTTGGTTTGATGGAAATTCTTTCAGGTAATAAACTAAGATGAGTTCCTACCGATGTTTTTCTGGTTGGAAGTTATTATCAAGGGCAGTTCCGTGGCGGTAGTTTCTGAAGTCATTTTATAGTTAAGGTTTTTGTAAGTAGTGCTTAGTGTGCGATAAATATGGATAGTTTTACATTGTGCTATTTCTTTCACCAATACTTTAAGTACAAATTAAAGTACAATAGGTTGGATTAGCGAGAAAAGATCTCAAGAGACATGACTGGAAAAAATGGGGAGAGAGTAGTAGTAGGATCAAGCAATCGACCTCAAATCGTGGGATAAGGGTTGAACTTTGTTCTTCCAAATAGTTCTAAACAATAATAGTATATAGAGAACAGAGATGATACATTCAACTTCACATTTCTAGAGTAGGTAATCAGTGTTGCCCGGGCTCCAAGTAGCTGATGCTTTAAGTATAAACTTACAATTTGTTTTACTATGCTGTGTATATATAAGATGTGATTTTTTTTAAATGTTAAAAATTGGACATTATTTGGTTCTACATATTTTGTGATGGGTGATGGATATTCTTCTACTGATATAGGTTTTGGATTTTCTATTAAAGAATTTGTGGACCCATTTAGAATTGTAAATATGTGTGTTGAGAGGTGTGACCCAGACATGGCCATAAGGTATGATTCATACTTTGCACCTCTCTTTAAATCAGTCTTTGGAAAATTTTCTTGTAATATCTTTCCTCTAAGAGCATCTGTTTATCCCTTTTTTAATTTTTTAAATTTTGTTTACATTGCTTAGTGTATGTTTCATTACTATTCAGTATTTCCTTTTCTTTCCTTTTTGGAGGTCTTTTAGTATTTATCAATTTATAACAAATGGCCATGACCATGATCAACAACCTTATTCATCAATTCAGTTAATTCCTTATCATTTTCAATTACTGGCTAGAGAGGACAGGGCATGGAGAAGGTGATGATATAAAGCTGGATGATAATGTAGAATTACTTTGATCATCATCATTCTCGAAGTCTAGTCTCTTCAAGGGAAACCAAAGGAAAACTTCCTACATGCTAAACCAAGCAACTCCAAGAGTTTTAAGAGGAAACAAGGCAAAAAACTCACTTAATAGTTGATCTAATTTAAGTGGATTTATTTTTGAATGATCTCAATGATCTTTTCCGTAAATTGGCAATAACTTTCTTGAGTTATGTCTGAATCATGTGATCTTGGGCTTAACCAGATAGATAATTGAACAATCTTTCTAATTATACTCGCTTTGAACAAACCAACTTTTGACACATCATCTTTATGCCCATAGTGATGGACTTCAAATAGTTTTTTTTTCCCCTTTTTTTAGAGTGAGACCATCCAAGTAGCTGTGACTTAAAATATTAGATAATTTGCATCCCATGTGGAGAAGACATGACATAGGATATGTGTAGAAATAAAGAATAAATAGGAATATGCAAAGGATGCAGAAAAAGGAAAAGCTAAAGAAAATAGGAATTTTGGAGAGGAATTTTTTTTTTCTAATTTGATTTTTTAGTCTTTAACTTTTTTTCTCGTTTGTTAACCAAAATCCCTGAATCTCACCGAAGCTTTGTTTTTAAGCCTTGTTGAAAACTAGTGCAGACCAACATTTTGAACTTTGGTTGAGTGGATAAGAAGCAGTATTAGGAGGCATAACATTTGGAATGAGTACCTGAGGAAACTTAGAAGTTGCACCAATTTGGTAGAACATGAGTATCATTGCTTAAGATGGTTTGGTGATGTGAAATGAAGATCAACAAAGAGGCTAGTCAGGAGGAACAACAATTTGCAAGTTGAAGGTGCTAAAATGAAAGGGAAAGGCAGAAAAGGAACCTAGGTACAGATCTGGAAAAATGACTTGATAATTTGTTCTTTAGCAGATGATATGCATTTTTAGAGCAGAATGAGAAATATTCATGCAGTTGAGCTCACTTAAGTGGGGCAATGTGGATGATGATGGTGGTGTGATTTCTTTCATGCAACAATACGTAGCTCAACAACCTTTTCTTTTTGGCATACTTCCTGAACTTTGCCATTGATATGCTAAGTAAGAGGAATTTCTCTTCAGTGTCCATTTCTAGAAAAGTGAGTTTCTGTATTCAGAGTCACTGTTTTGAGCTGTGAACATTTTAAGAATGCTATTTTATTTTCCCTTTCTCTTTAAAAATATGCACTTGGAAAGATTCCTCAACAATAGCATGAGTAGAAAAGGGTCACCATACATTTATGGTCATGTTTTCCATATGTTTTTTATCAATAGCTGTTCTGAGTTTTATTAATATGAATTATGCAGTGTGCATCAGTACAGTACCGGCACCCCAAAGAGGCATCTAGCCTCAATTAACTACCTCTAGGATATTCAATTACCACACATCTGATTTCTCAATGCTCCTCCTTATTTTTCCAGACCATTTAAGCAGATTGAGGTACCTATCAATAATTTAAAGGTGTGGGGGGGCACACCTCCAGGCGAGGGTCTTGAGGTGCCCCAAAATGCCTTGAGGCACATGCCAGGGGCACTGATGAGGTGTACACCTTAGGTGCATGAGGCATAATAGCCTGAGGCGTACATCTCAAATGCCTTTTGCATGAGGTGTGCAAGAGTCGTATGCCTCATGCATGCCTCATATGAAAAGAAAGAAAGAAAAGAAAAGAAAAGAGAAAAAGGAAAGGAAAGGAAGAAAGGGAAGACCCCCCTTCAGCTAGTGTTATGCATCTTCATTCTTCTTAATATAAAACATTTTCCATAGAAATGAAAGAGGTGGGGATGGAGGACAAGGGAAGGTTCAGAGTAGTAGGAAGGTGGAGGCCTGAGGTGTTGATCGAAGCCAAGACTTTCAAGTTCGAAGAGGAAAGGATCAAAGGTGAGGAAGTTTTGAAAATCAGAGAGAATAACAGGGCAACTGTGTTGGTGTCAAAGGAGGTTATCGTCTGGTTGAAAGGTTTCATAGATGGGGCTATCAACTCTGGTAAGGTGATTGGATGGACAAATTCAATGACTGTCCCAGGTAAGAAATTTGTAACAGAATTGAAAAGAAACAGAAAGGGATGGTTTATCTCTGTGGTGGAGCTTTTTGGAACAAGTGGAAAGCAATTGCT